ATCACAACGCAGTAATCAGACGCAGTTCTTTCCAAGGCAAAACTCACTTTGTTTCCAGCAAATATTTCAAAGTCGTGCGCTCCCTTATATCCTCTAAGAGAGGGCGTGTCAGTCTCATTAATTAATCCTTTGCTGGACGTCTCTTTTCTAATTGAGATTGACGTCTCAATCTTCTCCTAGTTCTGGCATCCAGCCAGCATCCGGCAGTTTCCTCTCCGCTTGAAACCTCCGACACACTTTCCTGATTAACAGTTAACACCTGAGGTTTAATTAGGGAAGAAGGTTCAGGGGAGAGAGTGGCCTCTGAATCGTCCAATAAATCAGGTTCATCTCTCGAATCCAACTCCTCTCCCTCTACCTGACTCCCCTCCAAGTCACTTAATAATGCAGGCTCGAATCTCAGTGCCAGGTCTTCTTCCTCGCTCGAACCCACATCTGCTGACTGATCAGGTTCAAGTCTCGGAGTCACAACAGCATGTGGTGTTATGTGTTGTGTTAATAAAAGTTTGCCTATTTTTGCTTGCCAATCCGCTGGACCCATCTGGGCCAATGTTTCTTTGGTCGTTCCCACCAAAGAAAAGAGAATTGACGGATTCCATTGATATAAGAAAAGGGACAAGACAAGGCTGTCCATTGTCACCTCTGCTGTTTGTGTTAACTTTGGAAGTGTTAAATAGAAACATTAGAGAAGAAAAAGACATAAAAGGGATGAAAATTAAAAAGGAAGAATTTAAATGGCAAACATTTGCAGATGACCTGGTTTTCATTTTGGAAGATCCATTAGAAACAGCATTTAAACTGGTAGAAAAGATAGAGGCATATGGAAAAGTAGCTGGCTTGAAAATAAATAAAGATAAAACGAAGATTTTGACAAAGAATATGTTATTAAGACAAAAGGAAGAATTGACGGATGTTTTGAAAATCCAGGTCACAAATAAGGTTAAGTACTTGGGGATACATTTGACAGCAAGGTGTAGTACACTTAAAGAGAATAACTATATTAAACTCAAGCAACAGATTGTGGCAGACTTGGCGAAATGGGAAAAATTACACTTATCATTAATTGGGAGAATATCAACAATTAAGATGAATATATTACCTAGAATTTTATATCTGTTTCAAACCATTTTCTTATCCTATAACATTAAAAAAGGAACAAACAGATATGGTGAAATATTGAATGAAAGGGGTGGACTTAAATCTATGCAAAAACTAGAAGAACAAGGTATAAAGATGAATTGGTTTTCATATGCGCAAATACGCTCTAGATATGATAAAGATTCCAAAACAGAAGGTTTTTATGATAAACTGACTGACAGATAAAATTTTGACAGGTACTGATGATAAGGTGATTAAAAAACTGTATGGATATTTATTAGAAATTAAGCTAGAAGAAGAACAAGTTAAAGAAACAATGATTGCTTGGGGGAAAATTTTTGGAAATGGGATTGATCTAGAGAAATGGCAAAAATTGTGGTCTCAAAATTATAAAATGACAATGACAACAGCATATAAAGAAAACTTGTATAAGATGTTTTACAGGTGACACTTACCCCCAACAAAAATAGCAAGAAAGTTCAAGAACAAATCTGAAAAATGTTGGAAATGTCATCAGACACCTGGCTCATATTACCATATGTGGTGGACGTGCGCGGATGCTAAAAGATATTGGACTAAAATCCACACATGGTTGGAAAAAATGACAAAAAACACAGACTTGAAACCGGAGATATTTTTATTGGGAATTTTACCTGAAATATACAGTAAGGAATTGAAATATTTGATTGTAAATGTATTAACAGCAGCTAGGATTGTATTTGCCAAAAATTGGAAAAATGAGAAAATACCAACGCAGGAGGAAGTTATCAAGATAATAATGAAATGTGCTGAAATGAGTAAATTAACATTTGACATTAGAGAACAAGAAGATAAACAATTCTGTAAGATTTGAAATTTGTTTTATCAATGGTTAGAAAATAAAATATGGTAATGGAATATGTAGAACTTTAGAATAGAACTATATAGAATATATAAAGACGTATTATTATATTATAACTATGGGATAGATTTAGGATGATAATATGAATTACTATAAGATAAATCAATTTAAAAATATGGAATATCTCGCATAATATGAATGAATAATAGTATAGTCAAATGATTGAGTAACAATGATAATAATGTATTTAGGAATATTTGATTGATAATATGAGAATATATACAAGTAATTGTAAATGAGGACTATGGAGAGTGGATGCACAAAAATGTTTGTAACCAACCAACACACTGTATGTACATAAGTGGAAGATGGCTTGATGTTTTTATGTTGTGTTTGTGTATGTTTGTCTAAAAAAATAAAAGAATTGTTTTTAAAAAAACAGTGGCAATTTGCTCATGGAGGATTTGTGTTCAGCATGTGAGATTATAAATTTTCAGTTTTGAATCAACAGGAGACATCATGAACAATTTCCAGAGCTTTTGCAAAAAGCCAGCACGTCCTCTTCTGGGTAAAGGCACAAAGGGGCATTGAGACAAATGATTGTACAGAGTTTTATACACTCAAGACCCCAAAACTTCCCACCTTCATCACTGCCCCATTGGTTAAAATGAGCATTGGGAAATTCTCAGATGATTTTTAGGATGATGCCTGAGCTCACAGTCTATCTCCATGGTAGTAACATGCTCAACAATTAATAATTTACTTAACATTTGCTTAATAGTTGCTATATCCTGCCATGTTTACACTAACTGGGGTGTTTTCTGGATCCTCATGACAACTGCCCTAATGTGGACTTATGCTTAATGGATTTTGTCTTGTTAGCACAACTGTATTTGTTAATATTTCATCAGGGGCTTCTCAGATTATACAGAAGAGAAATATACTAGAGAAAAATATGTCTACTTTTGCACTTTTTTTTACAGGAATAATTTTTACTTCTCTTGGATAGCCTGGGAAAGTAGTTCAGTGGTTCTCAACTGGGGCAATTTGAAGATGAGTGGCCTTTGTTATGAACTAACAAAAAACCATTTAATAAACTTATTAACATTATGTTAAGCAGGCTTGAAATCCTGCACTTTGGACTGGCCCTTGAATAGCGAACTGGGATTGGTCCTCATGGAGCAACCTGATTGGCTATTAGTGTAACATCTTTCATTGGCCAAAAGTTAAGCATGTGGACACAGGTCATTGGTTAACAGGTCAGTAGCTAGCTCTATAAAAGGGCTACTGCTGCCCAAGGGTTTTGCTCTCTGTTTTCTGTTCCTTAATAAAGAGTTGAAGTTCACTAAGTCACTGACTCGTCTCGATTACTTGCACCCATGCCCAGAATATAACACTGGCGATGAGGATGGGATGCAAGAGACGATAGAGCTGACTGAACACCAAAGAGCGCCAAACAGAGCACGTGGCTGAACACGCACCAATGACGGCAACATGGCCAGCGGTGCTATACCACCCGCTCCATTTGACCCAGCAAACGAAGACTGGGACTCATATATGGATCGGTTCCAAATGTTTTTGGAGACCAATAACTTAAAGGACGCGACAACCGGTAAGAAACGAGCAATATTCCTGACCCCATTGCGGGCCGGCCGTATTTAAAATGGCGAAATCACTTGCAAAAACGGCTGAAGTGAAATCAATGGACTGGGACGCCCTCGCTCCCCTCCTAAAGGCCCACTATGCACCCGCAGTGCCCACACTTGTTCGAAGACATGAATTTTACCAGAGGGACCAACGGAAAAGCGAAAGTCTCGCAGACTACATCGCTGACCTCCGGAATTTGGGAGGCCTCTGTGGGTTTTCCAACCTCGAAGAAGCTTTGCGAGACCGCATAGTTCTGGGATTAGATGACCAGGCGGTGCAAAGCAAGATCATGGCAAAAGGGGACATCGATCTTGCCGATGCCATCGCAGATGCTACTGCAGCAGAAGCAACCAGGAAGTCGGCCGCTCGAATGCGCCGCACCAACACACCGCTCTGCCAACTCGCGAATGACACCTCGCCTCGCCCCGAGAGGCACTCAACAACGGCGCATCATGAAGACCTAGAATCCCCATCAGAAAGTGATGAGGAAGAGGTCAACCGACTCCGGTCCGAACGAGACCAACAAACCCAACGATTCCCGCGACAATGCGCGGGTTGTGGGGCAAACCACCCACGATCCGATTGCAAATTTCTTGACGCACTCTGCCATTCATGTGGAAAAAGAGGCCACATTGCAAAGGTCTGCAGAAGCAAGCGAGGGTCCAGTCCCAAGCGCAGGGAGAATAACTGCAGCCAGTCTTCGGGATTCCTGCAAAGAACTCCGCTTTCTCAGCTGGCTTTTATCTCTTGAGGGAGGGGCCATCACCTTGCAGCCTTACTCCTGAGTCACCCGTGCTGCTGCAGCTGCTCTTTCCTCCGAGCAGCCCTGGGCACAGGCTCCTCGGGGGCCTCTTCATCACTGCTGCCAGCCTCCACACTCTCCAGAGGCAGCCTTCCACTCCCTGATGGTCCTGGCCCATCCCTGCCTCACACGCAGGCTCCTCATCCAAGTCCTCACTCTCCGAGACCTCAGCCATCCGCACCTGCTGCTGGCGGACCACAACATGGTCTGGGCCAATAGAGAAGCAGCTGTGGGCTCTAAAGACTCTTGAGGTCCATCTTTGCCTCCAGTGCTGTCAAAAAAACGAGATGTGCTTCACCTTGCCTATCTCCTGGGCTCCTGTTCAAACCTACCTGGGAAAATTATCATACATGTCCTACAACCGCTGTCTCATGGGAACATGCCGCATCCTGAATTTTGCTATCTTCTTCCTTCAATGTTTTATTGCATATTTTGTTTAACTAAATAGTTTCAATGGTTTTTAATGCTTTCATGGTTATTTTATTTTTGGGGTTAGGGTGGGTTGTTTAATTTTGATGGGCAGCTACATATATTTGTTCAATTTTAAATTGCAATGCCCCTCCCACTAAGGGACGGTACAATTTGCAGGGAGAATTGTGAGTGACTATATTTTACAGACGCTAGGAAGTTTCATTTCTTTGACATGTCTCACAAGATTTTCCTCAGCCTGTGGTTCTCAGCCCTTCTCTTGGGAACTGGTAAGTTGTGTTTCTCTTACTGTGTTTCTAGCGTTAGATGCAGATTCAAAGCTGGGTAGGATTTCTAGAGGAAATTTCTTGCTGCCCAAAAGAGCTGAGTTGGAAAAGAACGTCAACAAGAAGGCAGATAAGATTGAAATAACGAACTCTAGCAGAAGACAGAAACTATTTCCTGCATTTTTCTTTACAAGCATAAGAAACATAAAGATAATGCTATTATTTATGCTTCATATGAATATAATATGTTACTCAACAGTATAGTCTAGATTAACAGGACTAAAAATTCAATTTCAGACTCAAACATAACAATAATGCTGGTCCAGAGCATGTAAGTAAACATTTTCAAAGTCATTTTATGTTGATTAAAATAACTACAAAACACTGAAAAAAATGAGAACCAAAAAAGTTAAAAACAGGAAACAGATTTTAAAACAGGAAAAAACCCAAAGTTCGGAGAATACATAAATAGTTTTGTAATCACCCAAAAATATATTAATTTAAAATATGCTTAACTAATATTTTAATCATCAAATGCATTTGCAAAGGTAGACAAAATTGTTAACAGCAGTATCTTTGTACCTATATTTCATATTTCTAAACTTCCCATGTCCCTCAGAGAGGAACTGTAGTTAGTCTGAGTTCATCCATGTATCAGAATAACAAGTTGGAGTTGGAAGGGACCTTGGAGGTCATCTAGTCCAGCCCCCTACTCAAGCAGGAGAACCTATACTATTTCAGACAGGTGCCTGTCCAGTCTCTTCTTAAACATTACCAGCGATGGGGCACCCACAACTTCTGGGGGCAAGCTATTCTTGCCAACTGTCAACGAATTCAGAAATCTCTCAGTCGGGGATATTGTGGTAGATCCTTGATTTTAATGAATCCAGGGACAATTTCCAAGTTGAACCCTAAAGGAGATTCTATTGAGGAAGATTAATGCCACCCATTGCTACAGCACATGTTTCATGCACAGCGTGCCTTTACATCAATGGCAAAGGAAATGTATTTGATTTATTGAGATCCCACTGTTAATATTTTTATAAATAATTCAAGGTGGTGAAGATATCTAATACTGTGAATTCAAATTTGGGTCGGTCACTGGCACCAGAGATTTACTCTTCTGGTCCCAGTGGCCGACCCAAATTTTATTTTCATCATTATCCTGGGATATGTATATTTGCCTTAATCAGTTGAAATGTCTTGCCTTCAGAAGTCGTTGTAATTACTTGTTGATGATCCAAACTCTGTCAAGGACCTTGGAGTACTCATCTCTAATGACCTAAGTGCTAGAGCCCACTGTAACTACATAGCCAAAAAGGCATTAAGAGTTGTTAACCTAATCCTGCGTAGCTTTTTCTCTGGTAATATCACACTACTAACTAGAGCGTACAAAACATTTGCTAGACCAATACTCGAATACAGCTCATCAGTCTGGAACCCCCATTACGTATCTGATATTAGCACAGTTGAGAAAGTCCAGAAATATTTCACAAGAAGAGTTCTCCACTCCTCTACTCGTTGCAGAATACTTTATGCCACCAGACTTGAAATTTTAGACCGAGAAAACCCAGAACTGCGCCGCCTTCGGTCCGATCTAAGTATAGTATATAAAATCATACATTGCAATGTCCTACCTGTCAATGAATACTTCAGCTTCAACTATAACAATACAAGAGCACACAATAGATACAAACTCAAGGTTAATCACACCAAACTTGATTGCAGGAAATATGACTTCAGAAACAGAGTGGTCAATGTCTGGAATACTCTACCCGACTCTGTAGTTTCTTCCCCAAACCCCAAAAACTTTAACCTTAGACTGTCTACTATTGACCTCACCCCTTTCCTAAGAGGTCTGTAAGGGGCGTGCATAAGCGCACCAACGTGCCTACCATCCCTGTCCTATTGATTCTTTTATATATATATTTTTCTTATATGTATCCATGTATTCATAACTATGTTTTTACTTATACCTATTATCTTGTAAGCAATTGACAAATAAAAATAAATAAATAAAAATAAATAAGTTGTGAGAGCTCCACATCCCTGGAGGTTTTTAGGAACAAATTGGGCAGCCGTTGGTCTGGAATGGTGAGCAGTGAGTTGGACTAGAAGACCTCTAAGGTCCCTTCCAATCCCATGATTCTATGTTCTAAGTCCTGGCAATGGCATTAAAAATATGAAGAATGCAATATGCCACCTTCCGAGAAGGGATTTGTCTGAAAGTGGTATGAGTGGCTAGGGTGCCCAATCTTGGCCAATTTAAGACTTCAACTCCCAGAATTCCTCAGCCAGCATAGCTGTGACAAGGCTGGGTCTGTTAAAGTTGCCAAGATTGGACACCCCTTACTACAAGGTTTCTTGCTTAAGCAGTGGGTTGGACTAGAAGACCTCCAAGCTCCCTTCCAACTCTGTTTTTCTGTTATTGGTTTGCAACAAGGGCATTGTGGAAAAGATGCGTACAAGGATATACAGTGGGAGGTGGGGTTGGAGAAAAATAAGGAGCAGCACATCCCGTGAGCAGCACGTGAGATATTTTAGCCTGCAGCAAACGCCACCCCAACAGACCAGGCATGGTCACAAGGAAGTGGGAAGATCCAGCTTTGGGGCCCTAATCTATAGTCATAGAGGAAATTGGAAAGGAAGCATGAAAGGAGCATGAAAATGCAATTAGATGGGAATTTTCGGGGGTGGAGAGAGGATCTTCAAAACCGAGCATTTTGTCTTTTTCTGATAAGACTCTTCAGCATACTTAGAGAACATAAGTTGCTGCAGATAAGGGGTGGCAAGACACGAGGAAAAACCGCTTCCTTAGATTAGGAAGCAGCCTGTTTGCAATGAATTTCAAACTTTCGTTTTCTCTTAACTTTTTAGCAATTATGGATCTTTCAAAAAAAAAAAAAAAACATTCCACACCTTGCACCAATTACCAGCATTAGGTTTAGGGCATTGTTATTCTTAGAATAGAATAGAGCTGTAAGGGACCTTGGAGGTCTTCTAGTCCAGCCCCCTGCTCAAGCAGGAGAACCTATAACATCTCAGACCGGTGACTGTCCAGTCTCTTCTTAAAAACCTCCAGTGATGAAGCACCCACAACTTCTGGTGGCAAGCAGTTCCACAGGCTAATACTCCTCACTGTCAGGAAGTTTCTCCTTAATTCCAGGTTGCTTCTCTGCTTGATTAGTTTCCATCCCTTGTTTCTTGTCCTGCCTTCAGGTGCTTTGGAGAATAAGTGGACCCCACCCCCTCTTCTCTGGGGCAGCCCCTCAAATACTGGAAGGCTGCTATCCTATCCCCGCTAATTCTTCTTTTCTTCAGACTAGCCAGACCCAAATCCCGCAGCCGTTCTTCATATGTTTTAGTCTCCAGGCCTTCGATCATCTTAGTTGCTCTTCTCTGAACTTTATGCCCTAAACCTCTGAACTCTAAAGGCTCAACAACTTTTTTCTAGTATGGTGACCAAAATTGGTTTCAGTATTGCAGGTGTGGTTTTATAAAGGGTTTTATAAAGTGGCACTAATACTTTACGTGATCTTGATTCTATGTCTCTATTTATACAACCCAGGTTTTTATTTACTAGAATAATATATGAATAATACATTGTTAATATTATAAACCTAATCAACATATAATAATAACTGCCTGGTGACACAGTGGTTAAAGTACAGTATTGCAGGCTAACTCTGCCCACAGCCAGGAATTCGATCCTAAGGGGGCTCAAGGTGGACTCAACTTTCTATCCTTCCAAGGTTGATAAAATGAAGATTGGCACAAAGATGTTTTTCCAAAAGGACTTTCTTGGGGTTTTGTTCCTTGAAAAACATTTTGCTTCTCATCCAAGAAGCTTCTTCCGTTCTGAAGCTGAAGAAGAACTGAAGAATGATGAGAAGCAAAAGGTCTTCAAGGGGGGGGAAAAAAAACCAAGGAAGTTTTATTGAAAAGCATCTTTGGGACAACCATGACCTGGATGACTGAGAATCTCAGAAGACCAGATTGTTGGGGGCAATATGCAAATAATGCTTCAACATTGTAAACTAACCAGAGAGGGAGCGGTGAAGTGCGATGGGGCAGCATATAAGCCTCAATGCCTTTGCTATTATTTCTCTGTTCTCCTCTGTTCTGTATTCTGTCAACCCTGAAGCCATTTTGGTGCATCTTCAGGGTTGCCATAGCAAGTCTGGTTGGAGCTTTGGGAATGGGAGGTGGGGAACAGAGAGAGCTGGGGATTATTATTGCCTTTATTGTCACAGTACAACATATGTACAATGAGTTTGGCTGTGGTGCACCCCCACCACACAACTTTGTTGATCTGTAGCCAAAATAAAATTCCTTCTTTCTCCTGGGAACCAAAGACGTTCTCGCCAGGTGCTGGGGAGCCACGGACTAAACCAGAAGTCCCCAAACTTGGCCATTTTAAGACGTGTGGCTGGAGAATTCCGGGAGTTGAAGTTGTGTGGACATCTTAAAGTTGCCAAGTTTGGAGATCTCTGGACTAAACCAAGTGGAGTTGGGGCCATGACCTGGTTGGATCATGTGATGGACACGTGGACTGGGAAGAACTTTGATTTTTAATTTGGGTGGGGAAAACCCCGGGACCTTCAGAGTCGGGTTTCATCAGATGTGCCCATATGACATGCCTAATAAATCTGGATTTTGAGGAGAAGCTTTTTGGCCTCAGAGTTTTGATTGCATTGGGTCTGTTGGAATTCTGACACGACCAGCAAGCTACCCCAACCCAAATTATCTTTATGTCACAGTATAGAGTATTATAAAATAAAAAAGTAAAGTAACTAGAAGAACAGTGGGGAGGGGAACAGAAAGGGGGAAATGAAGTGAGGAAGGAAAGAGAAAGAAAGGGATCATTGACTTCTGACTCTCTCTGTTATAGTAAAATAAGGCATTAACATCAAATCACAACTTTTTGCTTTTCCATAATAATAAGAACAAGTTATTTCATTGCAACAAAGATCTATCCATCTAATCTATAAAACCCAAGGTCA